AACAAACAAGCCCTGGGAAACTCACTCATTCCTATCCCGAAGCGTCCCACATTATAGACACTCAGTAGGTGTTTGTGAGAAAGTACAAGGAGGCACACTTTTCTGGTGGTTGCTTGAGTGTAAGAGCCCCGCAATGTTTTCAAATGAGTGTTCTACATTGCAGATGCACGCGTTAATCTGAGCCTATGTGTCAGTTAGTTCAAAGCTACCCAAGGAGAATTTGCTCAGGGATTTTCTTTTTTTAAATCTGGCTTAAACAAGTAGGTTTGAAATGATTCTGAGTCCCAGTGGCGCAGAGCTCTCTAGGCCTCTCTCCACACCATCCTCGAATGTTGTTTCCATAAAGCCCGTTTATTCATTTAGCATGCGTCTGAGGCCTGGCTCCGTGCAGAGCAGTGTGGCCTAGTTGGCAAAGGGCTGCTCTCTCTGATTGCGGACAAAGGCCCCTGCAGACTGCACAGTACCTCCCCATGTATTCCTTCACTCGGGCTGCACACTGAGCCAAGGTGTGCTTTCAGGGGTGTTCTTGGGGGAGAGAAGGAAATGATGTGGTTATTGTTTTTAAAGAAACAAGATGCTCAGTAGGGTTAAGATATCACATCTAATCACAGTTGCAGGTAGCATTTGAGACAGGGCTTTGTGCAGCTCAGGCTGGGCTTGTACTTGTTATGTAGGTAAGGGTGGGCTACAGGCATGCACCACCAGGCCTGGTTTATGTGGTGCTTAGGGTTGAACCCAGGGCGCTGTGCCTGCTAGGCAAGCATTCTATCAACTGAGCTGCAAACCCGTTCATCCCAGTCCTTCGTGTTTTGAATAAGAAATGTAACCCATGACCTTGGGACTATGTGTCTAGCACTGTCACTCAGCTTGCCAGATCTTTTACTGACTGTTACTGCCACTTTCTTGGATGTATTTCCTTCCTGTCTCCAGGGTCTTTCTGTGAGTTACTGGGTCTTCAAGGCTCAACCCAGACACCACTGTGTTAACTACTACTCACTTTGCCTCTCAACAGAGTTGCCCACAGCCTTGGAAGGCAGATGTCCTGGTTTCTAATTCTGGCTCTTCTCCTTGTGAGATGTGTGACCTTGGACAAGTCACTTAGCCTCTGTTGCCCTCATTTGTCCCTGAAGCTATGGAATATTAATAGTCTCATCACACTGAAGTTGGAAAGAAAAATACAGTGGTGCCTGAAAAGCCACAGTAAGTGTCCTCTCTGGCACTGCAGGTGACCAATGAACACTATTTCCTTGTTTTAATCTCATTCTTCTTTAGAAATCCTTTTTTTTTTATGTTTTCTGATATTTTAGAAACGATCTTATTTTACATATCAATGCCCCCATTCCCTCGCCCTCCCATCCTCCCATGTGCCCCACCTACCCCCCAACCCACTCCCCAAGGATAGTGAGGCGCTCCACAGGGACCATCACATCATTTGGGAAAAATTCTTGTTTCCATGCAACTGTCTCTCTCTCTCTCTCTCTCTCTCTCTCTCTCTCTCTCTCTCTCTCTGTGTGTGTGTGTGTGTGTGTGTGTGTATGGCTGGGGGAGGTAGTGATAGGTCTTCACTCTGTAGTCCTTCAAGGATGGACTTCTCCAAATGTGGGCATTACAGGCATGAGCCACTACACCTAGCTCTTACTTTATTTTTTATAAAAGCTTCACAATATTTTATCCATACTAATCTAATGACACCACAGTGGTTTTAATATAAAAACTTAAAATTTTCTGGCTGTTAAAATAATGTATACTCACTGTAAAAATTTCATAAAAACAGAATAAAACAAAGGGGAGAAAAATAGCAACTATAATTCCGCCAGCTGACATAGTCACTGTTAGCATTTGTGAGCTTCTTTCCACTTTTTATATGTATAAACACACATGATTTTTAAGCACAAGTAATCATATTAAACATAGCCACTGGTGTGTAGTGCTTTCCATGCTAGAAGCTATCTATTCAAACTGACAATCCTAGACCCCAGAAGAGGTTCACAACAGGAGCTTGCTCTGATTCAGTCTGTAGTTTTTATACAAATCTAGACACTATTTTAAGAATCATTGCACTCCTAGTTTGGAAGATTCTCTGATTCCCTGGCTACAATTGTCCTGTGTTCCAGGAAGCTAGCTTCTGCCAAATACTGACTTGTGGTCTACTTATCGACACAAGGGCATGCTTGCTCTACCATACTCCAGGATGGACATGTAACATTTTCTAGTATTATGGCTATTTGTTTCTTCGCTTTTCTTTTTTTCTTGAGACAGGGTTTCTCTGTGTAACCTTACTGTCCTGGAACTTGCTCTGTAGACCTGGCTGGCCTTGACCTCAGAGATCTACCTGCCTCTGCCTCTGAAGTGTTGGAATTAAAGGTATGGGCCACCACCGTCTGGCTTAGTATAGTATCTTGTTATAGTTGTCTGTGTCAATCAACTTTCTGTTGCTGTGACAGAATGCCTATAACAATCAACTTAAACACAGGAAAGGTTTATTTGACCCATGGCTTCAGCTCATGGTCAGGTATCCTTACTGCTTTGGAGCTGTAGCAAGACAGTGAGTGCATCATGGTGAACAGCATAAATCTGCTCACTTAATGGCAACAGCCAGGAAGCAGAGAGGGAAAGGGGCACAGATCCCAACTCATCTCTCATGGGCATGCCTTCAGTGATCCACTAGGCCCCTCCAAAAAGCCTCTAGTCACCCCAGTTTTAGTAACCAGGAGGAACACTTCATATTCAAACCCAAGCCCAACGTTACCTAAATGATTTATGACTTTCCCTTCCTAAGACCTTCGGGTCATGCTGCATACATACTTGCATGAATGGATTCATGGGATAGTTCATTGTGCACGATACTCTGGCTGATCAGGGTACCTACCAGAGCACGGGGTACAGGTGGGCTCCATTCATGCCAGTGACTGTCAAGACTTTGACATCTGTCTTCCCAGAGAAGCCTTAAAAGCTTTCACTCAAAAATTAATTCACTACGGTCACCTCACTTCCCTCAAGTAAAGCCGGCACTGAAGCAAAAGATGACATTCTCAAATAACCACAGAACCTCCCAGAACCTCCAACATTGCTTTGAGGGAGTGAAAGAAGAGAAAGACTAGCACCATTGCCAGCAGGCCCACTCGCTCTTTTCTCCCTGGTGGGTGTTGGCATTCGAACTAGAAGCCAAATCTCCCTGCTGCTCCATCCAGTGCACAGCACAGCACGTGAAGCCTGACCACAAGATGGCTGGTGAGTTCTTTCATCCTGGCCCCAGCCTTGGCTTCCAGAACCCAAGCCTCCAAAATTTGGGCTTATGTAACTTATTTGTTTATTTTTAAGGCCCGCCCTGTCCAAGTCAAGAACACTTAAGACTGCCTTTTAGAGGGAATTTGGAGCCCAACATTGTCATTAACTAAATCAGCAAGCAGTGGCCTTGTAAAAATCCCAAGTAGCAACATCCTAAAGACTTGTGTCATCCTATCCCTGGTGCAGTGAGTATGATGATGCCTGAAATAGGTCCCTGGATTTCTCCTTTGTCTCTTAAACAGTAGAGCCCAGCCTGGACCTGTCAGCCTTGAGACTCTGCAACAGCAGTACCTCTGTTTGACTGGAGCATGTAGTGGGAAGGGACTTGTTCTTTTCACCCTATACACTGCTGTGGGATAGTCGAGCATTCTGTGAGCCCTGAGTTTGCCTTTGCATTCATTAAATAAAGTCAACCTAGGGTCAGGAGGCTGAGTTAGCATCTAGCTGACAGAAATAAATCATAGAGAGTCATAGGGTGTCTGTAGGATGACAGGGAGATGCACAGGAAGTAGTAGGGCGGGACTTATTGTAGGATGGGTTTTTTGTTGTTGTTTTGGCTGAGCAGAAGCACACTCCTGCAAAGAGAGAAAGTCAGCTATTTGCTGCTGAACCTCTCTGAGCTAGCAGGTTTTCACCCCAGCCTTTGATTCCCAAGTCTTATTGATAAATAGAATGACAGAGATTTAATTTAAAGCTGTATTTGGCAGCAGCGACATAGTTGGTGCCTGCAGGAACAGCTGGAGAAGCGGGTCAGCAACTGTGGAGCCACATTTGTTGGCTAAAACAGCAGCCGATTAAAGTGCAGCCTGTGCAACGACAGAAAAACAGCGATGCAACTTTCAGAAACTTCTGGAAAACATGGGTCAGAACAGATACCATTTTAGGTTAGCTTCTAGACAGGAAGGAACAGGTGCCAAAAAGTCTGACAAAGACAAAGGTGGAGTCCCTGCCAACTGTTATTTCTATCTGGGTACAATGTCAATGTGCAAGTAAGAGAATAATTAAATAAGTGACGGTCACTTTCAATGTGTTTCCCTGAAGAGTCATCAACGCCTGATGGAGTCTTTGGCATGTCTTTCCTGATGAGAGGGAAGCATTCTGATTTGTTAGGTTGGAAGAGCAGAGTACAAAGCCATACATGAAGCATAGGAGCAATTATGCTCATCACATATTCTGGGTAACACACCGAAATACACTATAGTCTCAGGAGAGCATCTATCTATGTGTGTGTGGGAATTATGGGTAGTTTTCAAAACTTTAGTTAGATTTTTCAGGATCCTCAAATCTTTCTACAATGGGGATTTATCACTCAGTCTGAAAAAAAGGGATAATTACAAGGCAACTGACCTTCTCAGTTCACATGTTCTCACCACTCTCTGTCCTGTCCTGGCTCTGTCTGAAGGGCTGGAGGGAAAGGCTGTACTCTCAGGCTGGTGGTGGTGAGGGGGGAATAAGATGTTCCTTGATGCCCAGAGCTATGGCAAATTTTCCCCAGGACCTGGAAGCTCCTGGATGTTGGTGAGCTCTCTGTACTCCACCCAGTCATCCTCCTGTATGCAAACTCAGATTTTTTCCCAGGCTGAGAAGGAAAGCAAAATAAGGAGTGCTTTGTCTTGGAAGGGGATGGGGTGGGGGAGTGGAGGTGGGGGGAGTGTCATCCATGTTCCTCTGAGTGTTTCTCACAGGACATCCCTTCCCTCCTCTTTTCCCAGGCCTCTGCTTCCCTGACACAACACTGATGGACGCATAGGATGCTATCTCTAAGGTCTGGCAAGATGGCCTGGTTCAAGCCAGGCGACAGACTGCACAGACTGAGCTTGGAAGGCTAGCCAGCCAAGAGAGCCCTGGCTGGTTTCTCCAGCTAGCCAACCTCTTCGGTATTTGTGGGTTTGTTTCCTTCCTGCATTAGATGAATGTAACACGATTCGAAGCTACTCGTGGAGCTGTTTGCCATGACCTTATCTGCCACTGCCCTTCTGCATGGGTGAAGTGCTCCCTCTGTGTGCCACAGTGTGGTGTGGAAAGTGCTTGAATCTTACTCTGAGAGTCGTTGGGGGAGCAATTTGCCAGCTCCCAAGCACAGTGAGAATCATTCACTGGTTATCAACATTGTTTAAAAACATGGTGTACAAGAACTCCCCAGACTCCTTAGAGAAGTGGTTTTCAACCTTTGGGAATTGAATGGCCCTTTCCCAGGGGTCACCTAAGACCCAAGGCCACCTAAGATTGGAATACACAGATATTTATATTGTGATTCATAACAAGTAGCAAAACTACAGTTACAAAGTAGCAATGAAAATAATTTTATCCAACTTGAAATCAGTGCTTCTTGGGAGTCTCTCATCTCTCTCTTTTCATGCAGAACCACAGTGGATCCAGACACACAGAAGTCTCCCCACGTTCCGTTTCCCCATCATTAATGCACGATTCAGAAAGACACTGTTGTGGGATTACTCTTAAATAAGGTTTTTGAATTTCTGAACTATAAAACACACATACCTAATGAAACTGGAGTGCCCTAGAAATGATTTTTTTAGTATAGCCCATGTGTTACTTAAGATATGGTTATACTACGTGTAAGTATAACTCAGGTAATATTTCGGTTATTAGAGAAGTTGCCTTTGTGGCATTCCTGTTTAACTGGGATCCTGCATTTGATCAGACAAGTCTACTCTTGAAGCTGACGTAAAAGAAGCGACGTGGTGATGCCCTGCCATATTTTCTGCACCTCTGGCTCTGAAAGACAGGCCCACAAGGTGATTGACACTTTCGCCTTCCAAGCCAGAGGGAGCGGCAGTCTCAGCCAGGATGGAGAAATGTAAGGGCTCTGTCGGGGTAGAACACTTCCGTGGGAAATAAGAGAGCAGGGTTTGGAGCTGAACCTCTGCTTACCAGTCGTCCTGAAGAACTTAGCCAAAGGTGTCTGGTGGTGCATTTAACATACGGGGTTACCCTATGTAAGCCTGCCAGTGAGGGTGAGGTGGGTTAAAGGAACCCAGATGGAACACTGACCCCAGGGAACCCCCTTCAAGGCATGACTATTTGACCAGCTCCAAAGGTCAACAGTTTTATTAGACTTGGGGACTTTCCTGAAGGTTATTTTTGAAAAAAAAAAAAAAAGAAAGAAAGAAAGAGACAGAGGTGGGTGGGGTGGGGGTAAAGGTCACCCAGAGGGGAACAGGATGGGGGTGGGAGGTGGCAGAGCCACTTACTCTTTCTGCTCGAAGGCTCCTCTCAGTGTCTCTTACAGTCTCCCTGAACTCACACCCTCTCCCTTACACTTCCTGGCTGGCAGGCTGAAGGTGGACAGGTGGCAGGCCCACCAACCAGCCTCTGTGTGAATGAAGGCTGCCCAGGCAGGCGCCCTCCAAGCCCCAGGGTATAATTTTCCCCTTCTCCACTTGTGAATTCCAGGCAAGGAGCTCAGCTGTCGTCGGCCTCAGGGAATTTTTCCGCCAGGACTGAAATTGGGGCCAAGAAAACATGGGTCTGTAGAAGGCACTGCTCCCCGTGACTCGGATGAGTTTTCCCTTTACTTTGGGCCTCAGAAGACAGCGCCTTTACCTCTTGGAGATGAAAACTTTGAATTTCATTACGCTGAGAAAATGTTAGAAGAAAGACGCCGACTTGCTAAACTTTCTGGTCTCTGCCATGTTGTCTCCATATCCGTTTCCCAGTGGACTAGCATGTGCTGAGGAGTTTTTTTCTGAGTTCATTCTCCTAAGTTTATCACACTCTTTAGCAACAGTAGCTTTAAAGTCTAGCATTCAATGCCCCCTTATAGATGAAGTTATAACACAATGTATTTGTGCAACTCAGCTGTGAAAAGTGTTCATCCGTGTGTTCAGGAAAACCACCAGTTAGAACCCATCTCTGCTGCCTGGAGTTCCTAGAGGCCAGAGCTTCCTAGCTTATTGTCCAGGTAGCAATAGCTACATCTCAATGGAGAGCCCCCCCCCCGCCCCCCACCCCGTGTCAGTGCCAAACGATGGACTTCGCACACAAGAACTCTCTGTCCTTCTAGGAGCGCTGTAAGGAATATATTCACCTTGGACCTGATACAGACAAGGGCACTGATGGCACTGATTTAGAAGTCAACGAAGATCCTAGCATTAGTCACAGAAAGTCAGATTCAAACCCCAGATTTAAACCCAATTACGACCTCTGGTCATAACCCAGAGTCCAGGCAACCAGCTCTCACTAAACCTTCTAGGGGGAAAAACCCCAGCAACCACAGGTATGGATACTCTGCTTGCCAGGAAAAAAAGGCAAAGAACCTTCTGTTGAAAAGTGAGTTCATTTAGTACTGAATGGTAAGCAGGTCTTTCCCCAGATTCCACCACAGCACAGTTCCCAACTTGTCAAGCATAGGAGTCCCAAAGTTCATTTCCAAGCGGCTTTCCAGTCCTCACCCACCCCCAGCGCTTTCCAAGCTGCCCTCCTGAGCAGCCCACACTCACCACGCTGTCTCTGGGTGACATTCACATCTCCTCCCGACACCTTTCTGATTTGGCTATTCCCACCCGCCAAAACAGTATCCCCTCAAAGAAACCCAAAGACTATGCACGTTGTGTTGAATCACAAGTGTGTGCTTGCAGCGGGTGTCTCTGATGAGATTCATTTCAGATGACAGTGGAAATGTTATGCTTCCAGCAGACCCACAAACATGCGCGCATGTGTGGAACCCATCCCTACCCTAGTAAGGGTACTAATGAGTTACCAGGAGGCATGGGCTGCAAGAGGCAGGCAGAGAAACAGGAAATTTTCTCTGTCTCTAGGGTGTGTGGTTAGATTTTTCCCTGGGACAGGGTTCATTGTTGGTTCCTTCCAAAAATCCCTCCTCCTCACCCCCTCCCATCTCCCACCTGTGAACACCACTGTCTCCAAGCTTCATGCTGAAATTCATCTATAAACCAGCACTCCCAAGTTTTCCTGGTCTAACCTTACCCTGTTCTCCAACCGAATTCCTACTTGCCCAGTACAGCTGAGTGCAGTTGACTTTTAGTGGGAAGTCCTCTGTTGGGATAGATTCTTGCTACTTGGTTAATGGTTGCTCCCAATATCACTTCATCTGCCCCCCCCCATCTCCAATGCCAGGGTGACTAATGACTCTTCAGAATAGATGGTAAAGCTGTGAGATTTAAAGACAGACCTGGATTTGAGTCCTGGCTCTACCTCTAACTTAGGAGGCCTAGGTAGTCACATGACTTCTCTGAACCTCAATTTACTGATCTGTACAATGGGAATCATTATAAAAAGAAATGGTGCTTTGAAGACTGGTAATATGCCCCGATTCCGTCAGAGTGTGAAGGACTTCGTTTATTGATTCCTTTTGTCTTTCAAGTGGACCCATGAGGTAGATATTTCTAACAATCATGAAGGAGAGTAGCAGTTCAAGAGATTTGACGTTATAATCGATTCCTTCCCTTCCTTCTGCCTCAACTGCTGTGAGGTCAGGATGTGACCTGTGGGAGTGTCTGGCTGTGTGGGTGGGAGAGGGAGAGCAAACTGCCCTGGGATTGGATTTTCCAAGCCCAGTCAGTCACCCACGGCTGAGGATGGATCCCAAGAGTCCATTCCCTGCTTTGGTTCCCGTGTCCACAGCTTCCTTCCTTCCTCTGCCTTAACTTTGTGGAATCTGCGAGTGGTCCAAGATTTTTTTTCCTGTCCCTTTCTTTGCCCTTTTCATTTTTTGTTTTTCACACAGCTAACGGCAGCTGCAGGGTAGTGGGGGTCGGCGGATGGCGGCAGCTGTTTGGATGTATGGGCTCTCTTGTCTTTGTCTTTGTGAGTCAGGAGCTGTTTGTATATATCACAAGCCACCACCTGGCAAGATGTTTAGTTCCACCCATGTTTGCATGCTTCCTGCATGGGATCATGAATGCAGAAGGGTAGGAGGAACCCTGAGATATTGATTCCAGCCCCTCGCTGCCTTGCAGTCTTTTTCTTAAAGGTTTTGTGGCTCAGCGGACAGCTTGGGGCTTGCCCCCTGTTCCTTCCCATGGACGCACTACAGAGATCCTGTAGCCAAACAGTGCACAGAAGCAGCGCAGCCAGGGAGGCCCGCGCGCGCGTGCGCGCACCTGGCAGGAGGCAGGTGGCAGGCTTACCCTCTGTGCTTCTCTGTGGGTCTTCTTGGGGGATAAACAGCCTCTCTTCTCTAGCCTCAGTTTCCTCTTTTGTCAAGCTCAGAGGGAGCAGAGCACGCGATTCACTCATTCTTTATCTGTCTTCGTGGGCCCTGGACTCTGTCTCTCTGGTGAATTACCTGGAACATCTGGCTGTTCATACTCTTCTGTGTCACCCACAGCGGGTCAGTCCCCTGGAACTGTTTGCTGTTAGCCTGTTCAAAGTGCCCTTCCTTCCTCCTTAGACTTCTCCCCACACCCTCATTGCAGAATTCTTGGTGTGTGTGGAAAAATGTGTGGTTGTTTTTACATCTCGTGAAGAGTGATAAGAATCCCACCGTAGTTCTAATCCCAGCTCTGCTGTGTACACTTGCTGTCTAGAGTGGAGTTCGAATTTTAACCAACATGGTTGATTTTCAAGGGCTTCCTAGCAACGACAGGTTTATACATGGTGTAAGAGTCATTCAAGTGAACATCAAAATACAATTAGGAAGGAGCAAGCTTCATGTTCACCGTTATATGTAAGACAATTCAGGATTTTGAGCCTAAATCACTTAAAAAATTTCACACAGTGACTAAGAGGAAGAGTCAGGACCCATGAGCAGGTCCTTCGCATTTGAGTGTCCTGCTCAAGTCACTCAATCCCATTATTATAAACCACCAACACCACTGGAAAGATAGCTACCTCTGCCGGCTGCTCCCTGTTGTGTAGTGAGGCATACACAGCATCTCACGTCTTTGGGCTCCAATGGAGAGTATTGTCACCCTCAGCTCTGGAGTGGGAAAAACCCAGGTTCAAGGAAATGAAGCACCGAGGATTTGCCTGCAGGCTAAATGTGTTGGTTGCAAAACTTAAACTCAAATCTGTTTTTTTTTTTTTTTATCTCTCTGTTTCTGTCTTTCTGGCTCTCTTTTAAAGATGGTTTTATTATGTAGCCCTGGATGGAACAAAGTGGGCCTTGAACTCGGAGACTGCCCGTCTGTGCTTCAGAGTGCTAGGATTAAAGGTGTGTGCCTCCAGGGAGCACCACTCCCAGACTCCTGTCCCTGGAAAGTCTTCAGTTCCTCTCCTAGACCTGAGTGTTCACTCACTGTCCAGACCATTAGGTGGGAGAGAGTTAATGCCAGTTCCAGCTACAGTGGGAACTCAGGCTTCTTGAAGGTTCAGTGAGAACACCTGAGACCTGGTCCTGGTCAGTGTCACCCAGAGTTAAACATTTGAGTTGTTAGTGTATGGTGCCTTCAGCATGACCATGCAGATTCCAGAATCTCCCTGGATGTTGGGGCAGGAATTGAACCAGTGTTCTGTTAGACTGAACTAACTCCCAGGGTCAACCTTTAATCCTAATGTTTAAAGTCGTTTTTTTATCCTAATGTTCAGATGTCAATTTTGGGTTTGCACAATAAAGATTAACAAAGGCTCGTTCTCCTAGACAAACAAACACAAACAAACAAATAAAGTTGTGTGCCCTCACACCTGGCCCTCGAGGGTTCTTCAGGGAGCCCCGCCTCTTGCTCAAACACACATTGTGTAAAACAAAAGCCCCAAGGGTAATTTTCAGAAAATTTTAGGGTTCTGTGCATTACTGTTTAGTGAAAATGTAGCTAACAAAGATGCATCTCTGAATCACATTAACTAAACTCTACCTCACTCAGATGCCATTAAATGTTCCCGAGGGCCATAGTGCTACGTCTTAGACTTCCTTTTTTGATTTTATCTTCCAGTGTTTAAAATACAGCTTCATTTTTTTCTGGCCTCTCTTAAACATCTCCACTTCAATGTTGAAAGACAGGCATTTGGTGTGATCAGAGTGATGCCCGGTAGAGGAGTCTGTCACCCGCTCCCTCTCATGTCCAGGCTGCAGATCCTGGGACCATTTGTGTGCAGTCATAACTCATGTCCCTAGCTCTCCCTTGCCTGCCCTGTCTGTATGTAATTCATCCCTCATTCTCAAGTGTTCTTACTCCACTCCCTCACCCCTTCTCCAGGGCTAGGGTTTGTTTCCTAGATACCCAGTATACAGTAGGTGCTCAGTAATTATATAGCACATGAATGAATGAATGGATGGATAAAATGATATAATATCACAACTAGTTTATGTTTGAAGGACAGCAGATACAAGGTCAGCTCTTCTGGGTTCCTCATTTAGCCCAGCAACTTCACGTACTTCAAGAAAGTGGCCTGTTGTAGGCAAATAGCTACCCTCCTCAGTATCATCTCCCAGAATGCATTTTGAGATGAACTTATTTAAAACAAGACATCTACAACTTCAGATACCCTGAGGGACCATAGATACCTTTGGTTCCAGAAAACTCCTGGTGTTTGTCTGGTTCGTTGAGTGAGGAAAGCATGCTGCTAAGGAGGACATGAGGTAAGGTGAAGGGATCCGCAGCTGTGCTGTGCTGTTGGCCTCAGGAGCCAGGGAGAAGCTTGCTCCCAAAACAGACAGCTCAGCTGTTATTATGGCCCGTGCCCCATCTTCAGCTGTGTCACGTGAGGTCATCAGAAAGAGGGCGAGGCGATTGAACACTCTATGCAGAGAGTTCATGGCAAAGGAAATGATTATTTCACACATCCTGAGATAGGAACATTGAAAAGGAATTTACTTGCTTATTGAGCCAAGAACAGGAGCCCATGGCAGAGTGCTTACTCTAGCTATGTGTGGAGCCCTGGGCTCCAGGAACACACATACACGTTTTGACTTGAAGCACATTAAAGGTATCCATGACAGTCACACACCTCAACAGTTGTGGGTAGAATAACCCAGTCATCTCGAAAAGAAGCTCTCAAGCTAGACTCCTCTGCAAACAGGTCTTGAGATGGTCTGGAAGATGTATGAGACACTTGGTCCCAGCAAGGGAAGTGAAAGTGTCACGGTTAAAGAGGGGGAAAGACTGAACATTCCCTGTAAGGGTAAAATGCAAACACAAGCCCTTTTCCCAGTGTGGTTGGAGGCCTAGGAAGTAAGTTCTTTGGTGGTAGAGGGTGTTTATAATCACAAACTTCCTTGCTTCTTTTCCCTCAGCAGACCCTGAAACCTGAGGCCTGTTTTTGTTTTGTTTTAATATAAAAAATGTCCTAGAAATAAATTACCAGGGGGAAAAAAGAGCCTAAAAGGTAAAAGTTCCTTCAGGCCGATTTGCTTTGCTTTGTGTAGAGTCTCCCTTGGAAATTCTAACCAGTTATTTCTGTTGACTTGACACTGCTAAGTGAATATTTGATCCTCCAAATCCTAGCTGGAGGCCTACACATCATTGGTCTAGATTTCTAGTCTTGGGGCTCCGATAGCTGAGGTACAGAGACATGAAATGATGAGCAGCAAATCCTACTAACGGATAACATGACATTCCCCATGGTCTCACAACCCCAAACTTAGTCTCTTCAACAGAGGTGCCACTGAGGCACAGCACAGCTGTTCCTTTCTTAGTTCAGACTTGGTGCCAGCATGATCAATAGTTCATCTGGGATGGTGGATGGCTGGGAGAAGTCTGCTGGCTTCAGATTTGGAGTTGAAACTGAAAGGCAGTCTCTATCCATAGGCCAGACATCCTGTCATGACCATTGGACCACACATTGTAGAGCCTAACTGTGCACAATGGCATAGATCTGTGACTTAAGAGTGATGTGATGTTGTTATTAAATCTCTTATGTGGCTCAGTTGGTGCTATAAAGTGGGGATAATAGCGCTGCCTCTTCCCTAGGACTATGGGAAAGATTTAGTAAATGAAAAGCACCTAGTCCTGGACTTGGTAGATCATGGTGCTCATTGTCACCATTGCAAATGATGATTTCTTCTTCACATGGCCAACAATGGCCATGTTACGGGTTGAAACACTAAGGGATTTCAAACACATGGCCAGCTGAAAAACAGAGATGAATGAATTAGCAGTGTCACCTCAGTCAGAACTCTCTCTGGCTCTCCATAGCTCCTTTTAAGCAACACAACACAGATCATGCACTCATTGGCCTTGGTATAGGTGACCACTTTGCCTTGGTTTTCCTGGTGCTTTGCCAGTGTTAGCATGGCAAATACTACTCCCTGTGAAACCCAGTCTAGGCAAACTGATTGGCTGGTTACCTGGGACCTCTTGGGTCATTGCTGTTTTCAGGGTACACTAATGATCAATCCTTCAAGCACCCAGTTT